ACAACAACTACCAAATCTGCACAAGCAAATATAAGTAATTGGCAATCAATGATACAATCACTTCTCATATAATAAAATGATGACATGTAGCAGAATGTAAAACAGTGTGTATTTAAACTTACGTATTTTAAACTAAGGTAAATAATTGAGTTAAATATTGTAATAGCTCCTTAAACTAACCTGAGCACTCTCTACTAATCCTTAGGTAAAGTACGGGGTATAGTTATGAAAGGTCTTTAGTGATCTGGGTCCACTTGCACAAAGCGATCGTAGTGCTAAGATGATCTTAACTCCCATACTTTAACATAGGCTTACAATAGTCGTAGCGCTAAGATCGCTTTGTGCAAGTGGGCCCTGTTCCAGCCACAGCTTGGCCAGTGATTGCCTTGTCTATTGTTTCTGTAGCATGTGACCAGGTTTTTAGCTTTAAACACTTCAATATTTCTCTCCTCTGGTCAATGCTGCATTTCAACTCTGCATGATTCACAGCAGTGCACTGATTGGGGAAGTTAATTTAGACTTCTTTAGTATTTATATTCATCATAAGGAGGTTAGGATCTGATATTTTAGTCTTGTTGAGTACACTTTTATCATTTTAATTGCATATTTCTTATATAGTATAAGTTGCAGTATGATCCACATGATACGCAATGTTGTAAATATATGACTTATTCTTCAAAGTCATGATACATAAGTGTGTATTGTGATATTAAGTCATGGCTAGATTAACCAATTAGAATATAGTGTAATTAGTGTTAAGCAACCATGTTGTTATAAGGTGCTTTCAGTAATTTATATATTTTATGGCTTGTAGCTGTATCTGTTAGAATACATTTATCATTAGCAATAATTTATAGCTTACAGCTATAAATGTAATAATATATTGTACAGTATTTTAGTACACTAAGTCTTGTATGAGTTAGTTGATGATTATGTACATAGTTCTATGAAAGTGTTAGTAAATATGAACTGATGTAGTGCATATAAATATTAGGTTTATATTACTGTGTGTGTGTGAGAGAGAGAGAAAGCGTCTGTGTGCGTATTATATACATTTTACTTAATTGTGTCATTTCATTATTAGGCATAGAGGCACATATAAAGCCATACTGTTGGCACTGACGTGATGAGCCTGCGTCCCTGAGACGAGGTTGGAATTTATGTGCTAATAGTTGTATGTATATATTGTTGTATTTCGAGGTGTATTGTATCATATAAAGGGATTTGTAGCTGTATTATATATAGAGCTGATGGTTGTTGTGATAATATATGCTTAAATTCATGCTCTGGTAACAAGTAAATGTAATATGTTTGTTTAATTATACATGTTATAGATTCTTGTAATTGTATATTACTAATTCAACCTTATATTATGTTTTAGGGAATTATCATCCATAGCCATATTGTGGTGGGATCTCCATATCCCTGATTTGAACAGACGGAATAAATCCCATGAACCCCAAAACAAGTATTCGTCGTCAGTACATAGACGTTATACTGCTGTAACAAACAATCTGTGAGTAAGTCACAAGCCCAAAGCCAGAGTCTAGTACCACAGCCTGCCGGCCTAGCTATGTTTTTTATCACATGAATCTGCAATCAAAATACATTCTTGGCAACATTCTGCATCAGCTACACCAGGCATTAAAGGGGCACTGATCTAACGCAATTCCCCGGGACTGGTTGTTGCCTTTGTTATTGTTTTTTTCCCAGTGAGTACCCGGGTGTATAGCAGAAATCTAGACTAGTTCGCGACCTCTGCTGCGCCATTCGTAAGCGCATTAGTCACTTGTATGGGTAGTAATAAGGGCGTGTGGTCACATTGATCAACAAAATGAAATACAGTTTTCGAGATAAAAAGGAAATGTAGGTATCTTTGTGGGTAGCATCGGTAATGGTGACGAAGTTTTGATAAGACACTTGCTTGGTAATTTTGAGATTTTCGTTTACACTATTTTGACTTGCAACACAAAGTAAATATTTCACCTGAGCATTGCTTTTATATAGTGTGTATATTTTTTTACTGTCAAAATGTGTAACATTTTCAAATTTATTAAACGCCTAAATATTCAGTTATTTTACAAAGTGACTGAAAAATCTGTATTATTATGATAACGAATTCCAAACATTTTGATGTTTAATGTCATCACCAAGAGACTGAAAATGTTACGTTGAAAAGTACATTTCTATGTTGTTTGGCTTCTAATCCTACATAATAATCAGTTGTGATGTGTGTAGGCCCTTTTGATCGTCTTAATCAAACTGGACAGATTTTTTAGTCAAAATGACTGAAATATTTACACATTTTATAAATTGCCTGAGAGAATCACGTTTTTCAAATTGACGGTAATATATACACGCTTACAAAGGAAAAGGCCTGTGAAAACAACGTCTATCGCACATTGAAGAATTTCCCAACCAAGACGTAGAGAAACAAGGACGAATCGGTTCAATGCTACAGCAAATGAAGGAAAACAAAATGCAAATACCATAATTACAACCTACCAAATTTATTTATTCCTTGTTCGAGGAATGTATCCATGAATATCCACACAAAGGAACAATATCCCACTCGTCTGCAGCTGTACAAAGAAACTTATTCGATGTCACGTGTCTCTGTAACAATCACATATTTTAAAAAATATATATATCGTTTGGGGATATTTGAACCCGTGTTCGTTTCTCAACTGATCACTTGGATTGTTTCAGGTGTTTCACATAGGTGTCAAGTCTCAAGGGTCAGCTGAGAAAGCCCACCTGAAAACTATTTTCATAACGTCCACAGTTCCTAAATAATCCATTGAGTGATAGATAACAATGATCAATCAATCAACGTATTATCAGTTAACCCTTTGAACAAAGTATGTTGTTTTTACATCGACACTTCACGCCATGATATGAGTGTATTCCCTTTGTTTTTGTAAACCTAGACATGTAAACACTCACTTTTGACATATCCACTGTGCAAGATAACAGTGATTAATCAATCAACGTATTTTCTGTTAATCCTTTGATGACTAGGAACGATCCGTTGATTTACAAAAAAAAGTAAATCAACTGATCATTCACCTCTTGCTGGTCTGCCACGTGCATATTACATAACACACATTTCACCTCACTTCAAACCTGGATTTAGATTGAATAATTACCCCAGACACAATAAATGCCAAATGGGAACCTTTGTCAGGTAATCTAAGTGGTGCTACCACTAATTGTACCTGTAATAAATTCATTAACTGAGCATCAAGTGAATGACGACAAATACACAAGTGTAGGGTTATACGAGAAAACGTGGATGTCAACAAGGGAGTAGATATCGTATTATCAACGCAATCTGAAATCCGTAAATGCTTTCACTGAACGGAACCTTTTTTTTAGTATAAAACTATAACCATCAGGGGTATTTCCAAATGACGACATCCGATGAGCTCCGCCGTTCTTTTTGACTGTTTGTTTAGGTTGAAGAAATTAATTAACATGCGCTCTTTTTCGAAATCTTTATAGATCACGGTTAACCAATCAGTGTTTATGCAAAAATGCGTAGAACAAATATTGCCTCCAGCCTCCAAGTTTATTTAGCTGTCCTTGCAGACGGTAGCCCAGTCTCTGGTCACGCTCAGTTGCGTTGCGTATCATCCGGGTACTCACGGGGAAAAAACAATAACAAAGACAACAACCAGTCCGGGGAATTCCGTTAGATCAGTGCCCCTTTAAACACTGAAAGTGATTAATTGTGAATCAATGTAACATTATGTGCTTAGACATGCTCAGAAGGCCAGGGTTCTGATACTTATTACAATACAATATTCCCAGCTTGTGTTTAACTTGAGATATATGCAAACAAGTCTATTGACAGTTTCAAGCTTCTTGAGGCCAAATGTTGGTTGGTTGGTTTGTTGTTTAACGCCGCACTCAGCAATATTCCAGCTATATGACAGCAGTCTGTAAATAATCGAATCTGGACCAGACAATCCAGTGATTAATATCATGAGCATCGATCCACACAATTGGGACTGATGACATGTATCAACCAAGTCAGCGAGCCTGACCACCCGATCCCGTTAGTCGCCTTTTACAACAAGCACAGTCGCCTTTTACGGCAAGCATGGGTTGCTGAAGACCTATTCTACCCCGGAATCTTCACTGGTCTGAGGCCAAATGGTTCCATATGGCTGCCTTACCTCTTTGATCGGCACTGCCTCAAAATTGGGGTCGACCTTGTAAACATATTAATAATTCTCAAGCATTCTGAATGCGATACACAACCTTAACGGAAACTCCCAAAGTGATCCGACTGCATTGTAAATATTGGTTCACTGCGATCGTTTTCGCGATACATTTTCTCATAAACTTTGTATTTCAATTGACTGGTAATCTGGTACAACTCTTCGGTTTGTCTGTAACACAGTCCATAACCACTGAGAAATTGCTTAAAGGAAGACAACACTCCAACTCTCAGTCGTCTAGCCAGTGCCCTTGTAATAACCCTGCATAATCACCAGACGCTTATTCTTAAGTCCCTGTACCATATGGGGCAGCTGAACTAATTCCTGCCCCACAGCAATGTGTTTTCACTAGCTCCAGGTGGTAGAATAAACTCGATTAATTACACACAAATATCAATTTGGCAATGATATGACATTTTTAGTCACCTTGACCTTTGACTGAACATGAACAAAAATCTTAACCTTTGACCTAAAAAATATCCCCAACATGCTATGAAACTTGTGATTGGAATGTATTCCATGATACACCAATAGAATACATCTGAATAGTAGGAAATAAAGTCGGCGTCCGTATCACACATCCGACAGTTGTGTGTAGGACTGAACTGCATTTTGGTGGACATTTTCTCATCACACAAAAACAAAGTGTGATGAATCCTTATTAACTGAAGAAACTCAACCAAAATGTAAAATCACCAAAGGATGATAGCTTTCAGTGATAGTGCTAACTTTTGATATTTTCCTATGAGCATGACTTTACAATCTACAATCTACCTGTTAAGCACAATGATGTGCCCATCATCCACCTTCCTCTCCTGCATGGACTGGAAGGCCTCTCTGCTGCACATGCACACGCCGAGGACATTCACCTGCAACAATACACGCTACCTTGAAACCCAGGTATGACATGACAGACCAAGGGGTGTTTGTTAGATTGTTGTTGATCATCCATAACTGGCCCCCACAGGAGATATCACTTGCAGACCATTGTGATGTCATTGGTTACCATGACGTCACAATCAAATGACATCACTAATGGCTCTGCTACTGAAACTGTGAGCAGTACTTTTTACACTCAAGACACAGCTTATTACTGTCTACAAACTGAAAAAGTTGGAAGAATGTTGGAAGATCAATAGAATCTCACCCTAGTGTCTTTTGATATCAAATATATCAATGCTCGTCGATAAAAGTTTATAGACTCGTGTTGATATATTTGAGATCAAAACACATTTTGGTGAGATTTTCCATGTCTAAAAACTGAAAAAGTTGGAAGAATTATGTTGGATGATAAATAAAATCTTAGCCTTGTGTCTATTGATATGAAATATATCAACGCTTGTTGGTGAGATTCTCTATTTAACGCAGCACTCAGCAATATTCCAGGTACATGAGTGCGGTACGTTAAGAACTGTATAACGAACCAGACAATCCTGTGAGCATTGACATCATGAGCATTGATTACGCAATTGGGATACGTTGACATGCATCAACCAAGTCAGCAGGTCTGAACACCTGATACCGTTAGTCGCCTACAACAAGCATGGATTCCTGAAGATCTAGTCTAACCTGGATCGTCATACATCAACCGTCAGCAGGTCTGACCATCTGATCCCGTTAGTCGTCTACAACAAGCATGATTTGCTGTAGACCTGTTCTAACCTGGATCGTCACGGCTGACAGACCAAGAAGCATAGTAGGGACTAATCTGGGATTCGAACCCAGACCTGAAAGCTTACAATAGTTGCAGCGCTAAGATCACTAAGAGCCTTGCATCAGAGGGAGACAAACTCAGCATAAAGAGGTGCATGCACATGCTTTGGGCCATTGATTAACATCCAATCTCATATGAAAAGTATCAACTTATTTTGCCATCAGAAGTTCGAAATAAGATTAAGATGTGACCAATCCTAAGTCATAAGTCTATATTGAACTGCTGATTAAACATAGTCATAACAGACACACATATCATGGCTATGTCTTAGCCTAAGGTGTAGCTTAAGACGTAGCCTATGTCATGGGCTATGGCTATTTTCCTGTCTTAGGCTATTTCTTGGTGTCATAAAAATCATTGTCTATTGTTTGAACAAAACATGTACAAGGGTAAACCTACATCCACCATTTCTCTCCACTGGGTAGTGCGTCCTGTCAGCAGGGTGTCATCGTGGGCCAGACCCGCGTTGTTGATGCAAACGTCCACCCCGCCAAGGTCAGGGTCAGCCCTGATCATCTTGAACATCGCCAGGACATCTTCTTCCTTGGATACATCACAACGCACTGCCTTGACCGTGCCAGGTTCATCCTTCAACTCATCAGCTAGTTTCTGAGGGGGAGGAAAATGGCATGTACTTGAGGATTGTTTTGTTTTTATTTCACAAAGAAGGTCATACAAGGTCTGTGAGATGAGGTGAGGTCGCGTTCAAGATTGTTGTACTCATATATAATGACATGCATGAACGTGTGGCTGCTTATACTTGTCCGGACATGCTGGATTTGTAACACTAGCCCACTCAGATACACATTATAGTGACTCCATGTGGACGATTCCTTCCTTACTGCCGAGCACCAGGCAGGGTAACACCAAGTACCATCTTTTAATTTAATTTGGTGTTGTCTGGCTGTGTATTGCATTGTTGAATAATGTGTATTACATTGTTTCTGTTGAGATTCAGTAGAATTTCATAGCATTTGGTTTTGACAATGGTTAGTTGTCAAGCATGTAATACTAACTAATGTAAGCAGTGGTGTGGAAGTTAATATTTTGATGCTCTTGAAGTCACGTTGTGTCAACTGGAATCTTCCAGAAAATAAAAATAGTGTATAGTCTGATTGATCTCTTGATGTATCAGGTGCTGTCATACTTTAGTTAGAATTACAGTCAACAGTTATACAGAGTGTAGTAGGCAAGTATATATACAGGTAGGAGGCAATGTTTATACAGTAGCGTAGATGTCAGATGTAGTTATACTGGAGAGGAGAAGGGTAGTATAAATGACAATCAACGGTGAAGTCAGTGACATAAACAAAGGATGAAACCAGTATTATAAACAACATAAAAACTACTCTACTGTTTAAACATTGCCTCCTACCTGTATATTTATTTGTCAACCACACTCTGTATATCACTTGCTTGATAACGGCGTTAGAACCTACACCGAAACGTTGCTCTTAATTGTAATAAAGAAGTTGTTCATCCATAAATTCTGATCCTTACGAAGTACTCCAGCTTCTAAATGCCTATCAAAGAAGGTACACTGAGTTACATCCTAATGGGTTGATGTTGTGAAGCTGCTCAAATTACTTCCCCCGTGAACTAACACATCCTTGGTAAAATTGTTCCATCAGTCCTGTGCATCCTGGTATCCAAGTATGGATCAGTGAAATAGCTTCGGTATTATGGATTACAATAGGAGTGTTGATCACAGACACATCCAGGCGTTGACCAGTTGTGAGAAGGAAAAGCAGCAAGATGTATCAAACAAATGGCAACCATTGTGCCTGTCTAAAACTCGGCCCTGTTAAACCATGTTGAAATTGTTCTGAATGTTGGTATTCCTAACAAAAAACAATGCCAAACAGGGTTGTCCTAAACATACACCAACCACTGTGTCACATCAGTATGTCTCCCAGACCCTACAGAATAGTGAGTGAGGGAGTGAGTTGGGTTTATCACCGCTTTTAACAGTATTCCAGGTATATCACAGCGTGTCAGCTTAATGTGGGAGGAAAGCCTGAAGTGATGCAGGTCTCAGGCGTTCTGTGAGACCCACGAGCACGGGTATGGTGCTGACAAACCTAGAAATATAATCGAGGCAAATCAGGATTCGAACCCACAATCATAGGTTTCTGGCATGATCAAGGGCCGCACTTCTGCACAGCTAATTGCGGCGCCTTAGACGACCGGGCCACCCGTGCCCCCCTACAGAATAAATAAAGGAGGGAATCTAACTCAAGTCAAGAAAAATTGTCTCAGCTTAGAATGCAGATTTCCTCTACGCTCCATTTAGACTTGATTTTATATTTTGTAGATAATATTTATAAATAAGATAACTTATTTCTGGGACCAAATGTCAGTCTAGTGCCATAGAACCAAGTCAGCGAGCCTGACCACCTGATCCCGTTAGTCGCCTCTTACGACAAGCATAGTTGCCTTTTAGGGCAAGGGATTGGAAAAGACCTATTCTACCTTTCAAAATAGAAAGGAAAATGAACCAGTCACATTTCAGGCCACACATTTTTTTTCACTTGCTTTATAGATTTTTTACAGGAAAATACCAGTTGGTAGGTGGGAGGAAAAAAGAAACAATTCATTTTGTTTAGTTTTCTCCTCCACTACAAAATGGGTACTGTAAGTCTGGAAATTAATGTGTTTCCAAGGTAATACGACTGCTGACCCCTAGCCAAAAATGCAACACAATATCAATGCGACTCCCCCCAAATGTTAAAGATACATGTACTTTTTGTATCCTTTAAAGTTAAAAAACTGAAGCTAAGAAGACCCAAATCTCACAATGTCAAATATTTGTTCTTGTCCGACTGCATGTGGTCCCTGAACAAAGGAGGGGGGGGGGGGGGGGGGGGAAGTGAGTGAGTATGGTTTTATGCCGCTTTTAGCAATATTCCAGCAATATCATGGCGGGGGACACCAGAAATTGGCTTCACACATTCTACCCATATCGGGAATCGAACCCGGGTCTTCGGCGTGACGAGCGAACGCTTTAACCACTAGGCTACCTGACCGCCCCACAAAGCGGAGTGACAACTAGCTAATCTATCTGTCACTGGTGAAGGACACCAACATACAACACAAGTATTGTCTGTACTTGGTCGGTGTGACCAAGTGTCTAAATACTGCGCCATGTCCACCTAGTAGGTCAATACTCCTTGAAGCCATTGTCAGAAACCTACTTCCACGTTTACCTCTGTGGAGGTCAGGTGACATGGTGACATGTTCAAGATTATTGCACTTATATAGCGACTTGTATGTAGGTATGTGTTATCTCTCTAGGGCTGGGACGAGTCCATATTTACTATCCGGGTACCCACCCCATTACCCGACCCTACCCAGGTACAAACTCACTGTAGGCCTCAGGAGATGGCTCAAAATGTCTGATTGGGAACTTGTTTAGCATAGCCCTGGCAAAAAGTATTTAGATACATGTATTAAACAATCTGGTCATGCACACACTGAAGTTGACTTGAGTTATATCTTTATTCAACCATATGAAAAATCAGAAGGAATGGGTGCATAGTCAGAAAGAAATGCGAACATTAGTGACTTGTAGTGTAACCATAGAGTTCTAGATAATTTTTGTCATTAAACAATATATGTATTGATACATATATATTCTTCAATTCCTCTTTCTAAGGAAGCTTGGCAAGTATTATCTACACTTTATTGGGGGTGGGGGGGGGGGTGGGGGGTGGGGGGTGGTGGGGGGGTTGGGGGGGGGGGGGGGGGGGGGTTGGGTGGTCTCAAAATGGTTGTTTAGCTGCTTACTGTCATCATGGATGCTCATTTATTTTCTGCATAAATACTGAGGACAAATAATTTAAGAGTATTGGAGTGTACTTTGAGCTGGAATGTCTGAGAGCAGCCATATATAGTGGCAGCCATATTGAAAATCATATTAAAACATCTTGAACAATTAACTTCTTTGAGTTGCATTTAGAAGTTGGGATGGTAACTAAGACAAAATTGTTATGGATGAGCAACTTCTTTATTACAATTGGGCGACGTTTCGGTGTAGATTCTAACACCGTTATCAAGCAAATGATACAATTGGGCGACGTTTCGGTGTAGATTCTAACACCGTTATCAAGCAAATGATCATCATTTGCTTGATAACGGTGTTAGAATCTACCCCGAAACGTCGCCCAATTGTAATAAAGAAGTTGCTCATGCATAACAATTTTGTCTTTAGTTATCTTGAACAATTGTTGTGTCATCCCAGATGGGAACATCAGCATGTGAAGTTTCAGCTTCACTTATTCAGTGGATTCCGAGAAAATGATCTTTACAGTGTTAGCAAATGCATTTTGAGAGTTTTTAGGAGCATGGTCAAGGTGCAAAGGTCAAACAGAAGTCAAATTAAAAATATCAGGACAATAGGAACATGTGTTGAGCCCCGTTACTAACAACACATAGGTACACCATATGAGGAGACGTAGAAACAACTTGCTTCAGTAATTGCCATAAGATTCATCTTCACTATCTTCAAAGAGCAAAGGTCAAATCAAGGTCATAATCTAAAAATATGGAACATCTATGTTGAGCCCTGCTTGTAACTACCACATACATTTTGTACAAAAGTGGCTGAGAAATGAGCAATCCTATATAGTTGCAATAGCTGCCATATTTAGCTAAGATCTATTAATATCACAAGTGTGAGAAATGCACTATCAGATTTTTTATAAGTGCATTTCTGACACTCGTGATATTAATCAATCTAGAAATATTTAAGCAACGACACAAGGGGCTGTGGGCTGCGTGGTAATCGAGGTTGATCAGGTCGGGTGGGTACTGAGTAAAACCCACAGGACTACCCACACCCATAGTTAGTCATGTGATACATTGTTTAATGACCAAAAGTTAGTATATCTTCATGGTTACAGTCATGTCACTAATGTTCACATTTCTTTCTGGCCTTTATATGTTTGGTTGAATAAGGCCCAAAGCTTCAGTCAGATCAGATCATCTTAAATGTGTATCTAATAGGGCTGGGACGGGTAACTCAGGTACATGGGTCGGCTGGGTACTGAGAAGGACCCGGGTATGCACAGGACCCGTGGCTAGTCACATGATATATTGTTTAATGACGAAATTATCTCAAATTCTAAGGTTACACTACAAGTCACTAATGTGGGTTGCAGTCAAAACGGCCACAAACCCATAGTCAATACAGGCACCAAAAGAGTCATAACTAGTATTTGTACTACTGCATGCTGTTAAGTGCTGTAGAATCACATGGTATTGTTTACATCACAGCAGTGCCACGCCTACTGTGCGTGAACTACGTCATCCGTGACGTCATCAGTGTACGTGGATGACGCCATCCTCGGTAAATGATAGAAGCCAACATTACTGTTTTTTTTGTTATATGCACCTGCCCCAATATATGACAATAACATCCACAACAGAAAAGTCAAAATGTCCATGAAAATAATAAATGAATATTCAATGTGAGCAGGATGTGTACAGAGTATACCTGCGACATGTTATTACAATCTAATATCTTCCAGTAAAGACAAACGTGTTGTTTGAACCAATCTCACCAATTTCCTATGATCTCTGCACTGACCAGTGTACCAGTCTGTTTATGAGTAGTAAAACTCAACTCCAAGAGTTCAGAACAGTTCCTTGGCATATACAAGTTGGTCCCTGCCCTACATCAAAAAGAATGCTACGAACCAACAAGAAGAAATCTTCACAGTCAGGAGATTGTAGGTGGCAACATAACACCATCTCAGCTGCTAAACATATGCGCTTCAAACCATGGACCAAGGGTTGAATAGGGATTTATCATCCAAAACTGGCTCCACAGGAGATATAGCAGGCCTCAAAGTTTACATTTTTACCAAGTGGCTACAAGTATTTTTTTCCAGATAGCCAGTGGTAAATCAAAAAGTCAAGACATGTTTAGGTGGCCAAAAGCATTTGAAATTATCTTTTATTAAATAACTGTCTTAATATGTACAAGCACTAGTCTTGGAATTGTATAATAGTGGAAACTTGCTTTGATTTTTGTTATTTGTGACTCGAACAATGATGCAATTTATGTTACTAGATTATGTAGGTATATCCTTGATTACCCAAAGAGCATTCTCAACTAAAAATATAATACTAATTACATTATGTTTTTTGGTTCATTGTGGACTTTAGGAGGAATTATTTGTGATTACAATCATCAGCAGACGTGTTTACCAAGATCAGCATATTTTTGTGTCTACATGTGTGTAGCAATAGAATTTAGTCGCCACAACATATTCTCCAAGGTAGTCATTTGGATACCTCTGAGTTTTAGACAGACAAATTGAAATTTAGGTAGCAAATTTGAGGCCTGAATAGCAGTATTTTTTACACTGTAGACACTTCTTAATACTGTCAACAAACTGAAAAAGTTTGAAGAATGCTGTTGGATAATAAATACTTGTTGATAAAAGTGGAATAATGCCTCAGCAAGCCTCGGAGATTTTCCACTTTCCGTGTTGATATATTTGATATCAACAGACACTCGCGTGAGATTCTCTGTGTGATATGTGATGTATGGTGCTGAGTTATTGCTGAATAAGATCTGTGAGCCTAGGGTGTTATGAACTGTTATAAAATGTTTTATTATACAATTAATGTGACACAATACTTGAGTTTGTCTTCTTTATTTTCTGTGTGTCCGTTTTGACTTTTTTGTGGCCGTTTTGACTATACTATTGGCTGTGGCCGTTTTGACTTTACTATTGGCTGTGGCCATTTGACTTTACTATTGGCTGTGGCCGTTTTGACGATACTATGGGTTGTGGCCGTTTTGACTATACTATGGGTTGTGGCCGTTTTGACTATAATATGGGTTGTGGCCGTTTTGACTTTCTTCTGTGGTCGTCTTGGCTATACAATGGGTTGTGGTCGTTTTGACTTTTTCTGTGGTCGTTTTGGCTATACTATGGGTTGTGGTCGTTTTAGCTATACTATGGGTTGTGGCCGTTTTGACTATACTATGGGTTGTGGCCGTTTTGACTATACTATGGGTTGTGGCCGTTTTGACTATAATATGGGTTGTGATCGTTTTGACTATACTATGGGTTGTGGCCGTTTTGACTATAATATGGGTTGTGATCGTTTTGACTTTACTATGGGTTGTGGCCGTTTTGACTATAATATGGGTTGTGATCGTTTTGACTATAATATGGGTTGTGATCGTTTTGACTTTACCTTTTGAGGCCGTTCTGACATGAGGCTGTGTTGACCCGCTCCCACTAATGTTTGCATTTCTTTCAGACTATGCACCCATTTCTTCTGACCTTCATATGTTTGAGTAAAGATAAAACGTCAGTCGAATTCAGTGTACGCATGACCTGATTGTTTGATACATGTATCCAGAGACCACATGGTATCAGATGTATCTAAATAGTTTTGCCAGGGCAGCGGTAAAACAATTCCCAATCAGACATTTTGTTCCCAACTCTTGAGACCTATACAGCTGGTACCTGGGCTGCAAATTTGGAATCGTCCCAGCCCTAACAGTTTTTCATCTCACCTGTATGTTGTCGACATTTCTGGCACACCCCACCACCTTCATGCCATGCTTGACCAGTGCCTTGACCAGCCCCGCCCCAATACCGGCCGAGGCTCCTGTCACGAGAGCTACACGTCCCGACCACCGCTGCATGTCTGAGTGGGTGATGGCTGACGACTGAAGAGAACTTTCTAAAAGATGTAACGCATTCGTGAGTTGAAGGGACGTAACTGTCGTTTCTAGGTCTGCATGACCTCGCACTCCGTCTCGTGATTGACGTGCGCTATCTGTTGCGGCTTGTATGCGTCGGTTTTAGCAAATCGTTTTCGTTCACGCTCCGGGATGATACGATTTGTTTGGTATCCTACCGATATATTATTCCGTGGGGTGTTTTACACTTGAGTATAATATAGGATAGGATTAAACACACTGGTATGGGTTTAAATTCACTTGGGAGAATCATCCTGACACAAGAAAATTTCATCCCCGGGATAAAAAATAGGGAAGGATAATATTCACTCTTACATAACTTTATACAAAGGCATACAAATCCATTTGATATATCATTATGTAGTTCGGATATTAACTTGAAGCTTGTTCGCTGACAGTTTACCTAAAGCTGTCAAATAAAATAAAATCGTAGTACTTTAAATTTAGCAGTCTACGATAAAAAAGAGGCGCAATCTGCAAGTCTTTTCAAGCATAACAAAACCCTTCAGTCTGTTTTTTTTTCAAACCAGTCATATATGTGCAATTAATTTTACATTCTTAGATATGAAACATAATATTCCACATCTCTGCTTAATGTTATAAAGTCAGAGGTAGACCCACTGCCGCGAGAGAAATTCTTGTGCAAAATTTGTGTAAAAAACATTACTCGGCATCGGTGATCAGAACGTTACGCATGTGCACGCCTAACCGGATCTGGGTACCGTTGTACAAAACAACCTTAAAATATCGCTACGACTGTCGTAAGTCTATGTTAAGGTATGGGAGTTACGATCACCATGGCGCTGGGATCGCTTTGTACAGCGCACCCTGTTACAAATTTGTACCACTACCAATTTGCGTCTGTCTACTGGACCTTTCAGTTGTTTTTGGTCTTCACATAATAACTATCAGTAGCTGAGTTTACCATGTTTACTGAACGAAGAGAGATTTTATTAGACTTGAGGTTTGGTCAGAGAGCTTAAGAATCCGTGAAGATCCGGGTTAGAACAGGTCTTCGGCAACCCATGCTTGCCGTTACAAGGCGACAATGCTTGTCGTAAAAGGCGACTAACGGGACGGGTGGTCAGCCTCACTGACCTAGCTGGTTGATGCACATCTTCCCGAGGCAAGAGAGTTCACTGACTTTAAAAGTCCAGTTTCCACCCTTGCCGAACTATCGGGGCACAGTGACACGCAATCAACCGATAGTTCATTGGCATTCAAGCCCATTGACTTAAAAAATTTGGATTAAGGAAGTCAGTAGGGGTGGATATACTTTAAGTAGCATAAAACATATTGTACAAATTCATTGTCAGCATTCGACTAAACAGATACGAAAATGACCTTGGTTTGAGGGGGAATAGAAGACATTGAACACTATTAATATATAAGAGAATATTTATGTCACAATCGTCCTTTTTATAACGGATTGGCATACTTGATTCATTAAAGCCAGGGAGTATCTAATTATTGAATGTACACAGACTTTTCCATATCTTCATATTGCTCTCTCATGCGTATACTATTTATCCGTTATAACAGTCTCGTGAGAATCTGCCAAACAAGTGCTTGTTTTTCCAACAGAAATGAGAAAATGGCTAGCTGTGATCAGAATCGCCCGTGCTTGATGATGGAAATGTAACGTTGCCTGACAACGTCTTTCGGATTGGCAAAGTCAAAACAAGGTAATTTGGCCAAGAAGATTAACTAAAGCTTCAGGTACATCGATGATCTGATATCCTTCAATAATCAAGTAGCCAATTCCCTTCCACTGATTTACCCACCTGAACTAGAAAAAAAGATGACCAGTGAGACCGCCTCATCTGTTTCATATTTAGATCTATGCAAAAAGATTCAGAGTGACAAAACACTCTCCACAAGACTGTATGATAATAGGGATGTCTCCAACTTTCCAATAGTCAACTTTTCCTTCATGTCGAGCAATATTCCGACAGATCCAGCCTTTGGTGTGTACATTTCGCAACTGAGATACAATCCATCATTCTTTTTCTACCAAAATTCCAAAGAGCGTCATACGACTCAAGGTTACAACATTCAAGGCCGGATATCAGCATGATATGCATATAGATGGCTGCATGTATCACGTTGTACAGCTATCCCCAATACATGCATGCACTCTTTTAGCTGATGGTATCCTGATTTTCGAATTATACACGTCAATATTGATTCATCTGTCAACGACACTTTTTTCATGTAACATACAGTATGTATGAACTAAGAACAAAGAAGTCAACAGAGGACCCCGGTGATGTACACAGGACGGTGCCCAGATAAAACAAGAAGTCACCAGAGTACCCTGGTGATGGTCATGTACACAGGACGGTGCCCAGATAAAACAAGAAGTCACCAGAGTACCCTGGTGATGGTCATGTACACAGGTGAGGTGAGGTGAAATTGGGTTTAACGTCGCGTCCAAGATTATTGCACTTATATAGCGACGTGCATGCACGTGTGTGTGTGTGTGTGTGTGTGTGTGTGGCTGCTTGTACTAGTCCGGACTGATGCCGATTTATAGTGCTAGCCCACTGAGATACCATGCCGCAGTTTAACATGAATACCCCACTCAGACACAGTATACTGACTCCGAGCCGACCAGTCCTTGTTTTAGCCCCTTAATGCCGAGCGCCAGACAGGGTAACAACAAGTACCATCTTTTAACGTCTTTTGGTATGACGCGGTCGGGGATCGAACCCCGGACCTTCCGCTCTCCGGGCGGACGCTCTACCACTAGACCACGGAGGCTCATGTACACAGGACGGTGCCCAGATAAAACAAGAGGTGAGGTGAAATGGGGTTTAACGTTGCTTCCAAGATTATTGCACTTATATAGCGACGTGCATGTACGTGTGTGTGTTTGTGTGGCTGCTTGTACTAGTCCGGACTGATGCCGATTTATAGTGCTAGCTCACTGAGATACCATGCCGCAGTTTAACATGAATACCCCACTCAGACACAGTATACTGACTCCGAGCCGACCAGTCCTTGTTTTAGCCCCTTAATGCCGAGCGCCAGACAGGGTTACAACAAGTACCATCTTTTAACGTCTTTTGGTATGACGCGGTCGGGGATCGAACCCCGGACCTTCCGCTCTCAGATAAAACAAGAAGTCACCAGAGTACCCCGGTGATGGCCATGCACACAGGACGGTGCCCAGATAAAACAAGAAGTCACCAGAGTACCCTGGTGATGGCCATGTACACGGGATAAAGAGAAGTAAGGAGTAATCAACAATCATTAATCTGTAGGAACAGATTTAGCAATTAAAAAATGTCTTGTAGATTCTTTGGAAAGTATGGGTTATGTATATGTAAACCTGTTAAACCATGCACTTCCATCAGGTGTTGTATCATACGCTTGGGTAACAGTAATAATTAGACCCATTTACATAACACAGACACACTTCAGATCCGAAGGCATGCAGGCCCATAACCACAGTCAGATGTTGTGGTAAGCCTTTTTACGGTGTTTGACATGATGAATGGTTGATGGATGGTTGATGATGATGATGATGATTATTATTATGATGATGATGATGATTGTGTATATATCGATTCTTCGGAGGCATTCGATAGTGTATGGAGAAGTGGACTATGTAGGATCTAAACTCTAATTCAACACATGTACAACAATATCAAATCTTGTGTTTCGCAGAATAAGTTTGTGTCTAGTTCTTCTTCCAGTCACAATGGGGTACGCCAGGGCGATTGCTTTAGTCCTTGTTCTTAAACGATATCGAAATTTAAGTTTTGAAACGCTGGTGTGATGGGATTAAAATTAGAATGTACAAATAATGATCTTATATTAATGTTTCAATGTTTAGTTTTGCTTTACAAAGACGACACTCTCTTATTCATCCTAAGTGTATAGCAAGACCTAGTGTTATTATGTTTAATGTACCACCAGTAATTTATTATAGTTACAAATATTATGACGATTTATTGCTAGTATTTTGAAAAGCATGAACTGATACTATTGTTTGACAACCGCTGCTATTAATCAAGTTGACTATATTGTACACACCACCACCTGGGAGTGCTATCCTCCATTTATATCCATATTTAAGGTACGATTCATATGAGATTGCAGACCCCCACATCTCCCCTCTCCGCTATTATACCAGCTATGTATCAACAAATGTTACAACAATAACTGCATTCTGAAAATAAATTAATATTATTGTTTAACAATTGTTAGTGTTGATGAAGTAGAATAGTATGCATACACATCGACCTGTCAATACCAATACCAATACCAATTTAAATTAATATTTATGGTACACTTCATGAAACATTATTGACTATATACTGAGTCTCAGACTCCGTAAAGTAACCGGATCACCAGTTGGCAATGGGCGATGGATTAGATATACTATACCAAGTATACAGTAGGAGCTGGTGGTAATTAGTTAAATGTCATCCTGAACATTGATAACGTCAAGTAAATGTATACAGTAAGACCAGCTTGAACATTGTTAATGTGTCAGAATTACAAATGTTATAATACATAACAACTATTCTGAAAACCTATTTTGATAACCGATGCTGTTGATTTAGTAGACTATTATGTACACACACACACACACATACACACACACACACACACACACACACAAACACACACACACACACACACACACACACACACACTCATTCACTCACTCACTCACTCGCACACACACACACTCACACAGACACTTGCAATTTAAACTTGCATTTATGGTAAAAAATATCTAACATTTGTAACACAACACAAGAAGGCGGTTTGAGGATTACGTAGTTTTAATCACAATGGCATATGTACAAGTCAAAGGAAGTGTGCCGTCCTTCCTTCCTCCCTCTAAGGTACTCGCCGGTACCTTAGAGTGCTGAGACCAAGTCTACCGGTATTTGGAAGTCGCCCGGTATATATAGTAATGATGGAATACGAAGCATTTTGTTTTGGACAGGTACTAAAATTTGGTGTGGTCAACTTGAGATTAAACTGACCATCAAGTGGTGTCCATGACGAGGCACTTAAGGTGACATGAAACCACCACTCACTGGTCCACTTGATATGTACTTGACATATCCACGGGGTCTCCACGGGGTCAGTCGTATTTGGCAAACACTGATAGTGTTACTTCAGTCGTATTTGGCAAACACTGATAGTGCTACATCCGCCCCTTTCTACTTGGAAATATTGTTGATATTTCCAGGCCTCATAGGTCGATCTTAAAAATATACACAGTTCCATATATACATATACAAAAAAAGGTGTGTAAATATTTTACAACGATCATGCTGTCCGTGACCGGACTTAATCGCTTTTAAAATGTCACTTCGTCACAATCTTGGCCCTCGACCGGCTACAGACACACCATCATGGTCATCTCTGATCGTCAGTTCTGCGTTGTGTTCTTCTTTTCAACTTAGTTCCACTTCGTCACCAGCCTGTTCATCTTAGTTCACGCAGCAATATACCGCACCACTGTACTGTTTAGTAGTGGGCATCCAGGCCAGGGTACAGGCGTCGTATTGATAACGTCGTTGTCGGCGCCGAAGTCTGATCCCCCGTCATCAGTGGTGCAGAAGCTAAGCCGCTCCTGGAGTCGGTACTCGCGACCTGGATCACATCAGATCCCACCAACTCGAATTCGGGTGTTTCCCGGGTGCGCTTTCCCCAAGTGAGCATTTTGGATAGCCAAAATTTTCTTTATCTTAAAACCATTATCAATAATATCATGACTAGTAACATGATACCCCCAACTAACCACCATTTCTAGTTAATTTTCTTTTCCCAACTAATTTCAGTATTTACACTATGTAATTCATCAATTAAATGACTCATGGATACCGTATCTATATTCTGGAGGTGGTTTGGAACCTTCGATATCGTCACATTTCTGAATTTTTCCTTAAAGGGTTTCCATAACAGCATATCGGAAACGTTTGGCATATGAGGTAGCTGAGCCCAGACCCCATTTAATTCAAAACTGCTTTCATTACGATAAAATGGTAGTAATGTCAAATGATTGTCTGAAGCTGTACAAGAGACGTTTAATCGTAACATACCTATTGGTGGGTAAATAGTTATTACCTGCGGATATACATTTTTACATACTATAGTAAAGTCTAGTTGTTCAGCGGTCGCAATGACCCATTGGCCTTCATCAATATTATCTGCCCTAGACAGTATCATGTGCATGGTAACTTCACGTTTACACAAGCTCTTGCCTTTATCTAAATCTTTCATGAAGAGCGCGATCATGCACATCTGACCAAGATTTATGGGATAAGTCGGGCTGCGTGTCTGACGATAATTTGTGAGTGGTTCACTGCACGCCCGGTATTCTTCATCTTTTAATATCATGTATTTAGTTCGCCTAACATCAACAGCTAACATGCGTGATTCTAATATGTGGCAACCATGCCAGCTACTTTAGTAAATTCATGCGTTTCATCTGAGAGGAGAGGTAGTGGTAAATTATGAATTTTATAAATTTCGTATTGCCCATTATAATCTAATAGTGGAAGTGATATTATTATCAAAATCTTTTCCTCATAAACTAAGGTCGAGCATGTTAATGTTCGATAATAATTCCATAATTCCTTTTCTGGATCTTTTGTTGGAATGTGCGTTTTCAGTAGAGTCCCTAGTTCGTTTTAGTTCAGTGGATTCTATCCACATGTCTTCTTGTCCTTGTCGCTATCCGCAACTTCACTTTCCACAACTGAACCTGTCGCTATCCGCAACTTCACTTTCTACAACTGAACCATGGGACTGTACTTGTTTGTCGTGCTTTCTGTAAGTTTCGGATGACTTGCTTTCCTATCTTAACTGTACCAGCTACCACTGCTCGGGCTCCCAGCTTAACTTATACGGAATGTTGTCCCCTCCTCCTGCTTCCAATCAGTGTCATCATGAGAAGGAGTGTTCGGTGTTTAAACCTCTGTTATGTGTTCCCCTGTGTGCCCCATAGTTCGTCCCATAAGTTTTGACTGTTAAGGCAATCTCTTTAATCATATCAGTATGCTCTTGTCGCTACCTGCGACCAAATACTGATCATCACCGTTATCATGTCAGTACACCCTTGACGCAACCCGCGATCAAGAACTGATCCTCATAACTGGATCCTTTATGTTTTTACAATCCCTAACTATATTAGCATACTTTTGACCGGACCTGGGCCACGTGTATGTCTTAGCATTAATGAATTTCCTGTTGTGTTCACAGTTTCCCTATTCTGTTCTTGATATGAACCTTGTTCTCCCGTTTTAAGGTTTCCCTCATCCCTATAATTTGTTTAGCCTATTTAACAAAATCGACTTTCAGTTTCTTATATGCTGCCAATAACTTCCCTAATAATCCGGTATAAACTTAAGCAAACCTCTGTACGCGTTTGATCTCTTCCACAACTAGTTTTACTTTATCTAGACCAAACATTACGCAGTCTTTGCCAACGCTTAACACATGGCTGGATCCCCTTCAAATGAACGGAATAGATTAGCGATGCCTTGAGCACCTACGACTATTGCCAAGGTTACAATCTGCCTTGTTGCTTGATCATGGTCTTGTAGATACCTATGGATAACATCACTAACTGCCCCTGATGTTGAAGTTACTGCTGATAACTGCCCCGTTATTTCTCCCGCTAACCCTTGTAAGAATTGTGCATATTCTGCCATTTTGCTCACGTGAGTACTTGCAAAAACCCAAAGAATCACCTTTTTGCGAGTCCCGGGACCACATCCCTCGATCCTAGTCGTTTCCTGGGGTCCCTCTCCTTCGCTCCTCAAGGTGATCCGGGTCACGGCACCAGTTTAATTAACCCCGCCCCTTCTTGTAACACAACACAAGAAGGCGGTTTGAGGATTACGTAGTTTTAATCACAATGGCATATGTACAAGTCAAAGGAAGTGTGCCGTCCTTCCTTCCCCCCTCTAAGGTACCCGCCTGTACCTTAGGGTGCTGAGACCAAGTCTGCCGGTATTTGGAAGTCGCCCGGTCTATATAGTAATGATGGAATACGAAGCATTTTGTTTTGGACAGGTACTAAAATTTGGTGTGGTCAACTTGAGAATAAATTGACCATCAAGTGGTGTCCATGACGAAGCACTTAAAATTGTTCCCCTTAAGGTGACATGAAACCACCACTCACTGGTCCACATATCCACGGGGTCAGTCGTATTTGGCAAACACTGATAGTGTTACATCAGTCGTATTTGGCAAACACTGATAGTGTTACACATTGTAGACTTGAAGACTATTTATTCAATCTTCCGGCTATTTAATACCATCTGTAAAGTCCAGAACATGTAACCAATGATTACCTGTTGAATAGGACAGATAGACTATGAGTACCTATGAGTATACAGTAAGACCTGATGGTAATTAAATGTCATCTTGCATAAATAATTGCTATTATCTTGAAAACCATAAAGTGAATAATAATCACAACACACTGATGTGCTAATGTTAATTTCTGCGAGAGCATTTATATTTCACAAGCAAACTTCACGTATTGTGTTATTCGTTTCCATTCGACACCAATGACCTATCTCCAGAGTCGTCCAATCGCAACCTACGACAAATCGATAGATATCACCACCTGCCTACGAGCTAAGGTAGGAAGGCACCTAGTCAACTCCTTCTGCAGCAGACAAAGCCATATTAGAATTCACAAGCTGTCCCATAGAAGTGTTTCTCGAGGTAGGTTCTTAATTCTTCTCCAATAGTTACACTACATTACAACAACACACTTAATAGTGGGACACGCTGTGCGTTGCACGACCGAGATTTATTCCCGCAATTGCGTAAACATACATACATTTGATGTTCCATACCTCAGATCTTACATACAATGAAACGTACATTATTTGATCACAAATTAACTTGCTGTTGCCTGACACGTAAAACCGGAGGTAAACAACTCCTTTTGAGAAAATACTCTGGAACCGTGTTCCCTCAACGACTGCAAACAGCAACTACCGGAGGGTTTACAGTATGCATGTAACCTACTGCAGATGTAAATGAACACTTGAACCTGGTATATTCATTAAGCTACATATATACATTGAAATATTGTAATACTGGCTCGGAAGCCCACACGTACTCAAAAAACACATTGCCACCGACACAGATATACTGTAACAAGTATATAATACTTCTGTATCACTTAATCACGTCATAGTGTATTATTATTATAATGGTTCCTAGCCTATGAACCCACAGTAAGCAATTTCGTACTGACAATAATATACACAAACACTGCATATACTGTATAAGGGCATATTTACTCCCTGTATCATAACGGTTCTTCAGCCCAGAACATCATCGTATGAAAGCACAACAGCAGCTTACATTTGTAATATAACGGCTCTTCAGCCCAGAGCAACCTCACACCGTACGACTGCGCGTACAGCAGCTTACATTTGTAATATAATGGTCCTTCAGCCCAGAGCAACACCACATCTACGACTGCACGTACAGCAGTTTACATTTGTTATATAATGGTCCTTCAGCCCAGAGCAACACCACATCTACGACTACACGTACAGCAGTTTACATTTGTAATATAATGGTCCTTCAGCCCAGAGCAACACCACATCTACGACTGCAAGTACTGCAGTTTACATTTGTAATATAATGGCTCTTCAGCCCAGAGCAACACCACATCTACGACTGCACATACAGCAGTTTACATTTGTAATATAATGGTCCTTCAGCCCAGAGCAACACCACATCTACGACTGCACGTACAGCAGTTTACATTTGTTATATAATGGTCCTTCAGCCCAGAGCAACACCACATCTACGACTACACGTACAGCAGTTTACATTTGTAATATAATGGTCCTTCAGCCCAGAGCAACACCACATCTACGACTGCAAGTACTGCAGTTTACATTTGTAATATAATGGCTCTTCAGCCCAGAGCAACACCACATCTACGACTGCGCGTACAGCAGTTTACATTAGTATTGTCATAGCGACTGATTTACGACTACCATTGTCTGAAGTACATTTGATTGCAAAGGCTAATTACCCTGTAGCAATGACATGTATATGTCTCCGTAACTTAAATGTCATTATGTATAAGACACTAATCCCCGTTGTTAATCCTCACCAACATTTCATTGTATTTTGACTGTCAGTCAGCCTGGACTACCATATCACTTCCCTTTAACTACTGCTTTTTATGGTATGGCATTTATTGCCCTAATTGATCATCCCATGAACTGAACATCACGCCCACATGTCCAATGTCCAAAGCAACGTCGTTGTCTCTTTGTCTGTCCATTGTTGTTCATTACTATATATGTGCTACCATTACACAGTTACTACGGTGTTAGTCAGGCTTGGTATTCCGAGTGCTGGCATAGGGACGACCTCGAGCAGGATGTGCCGCTCGTAGGAAACGCCCTGAGCGGAGCGTGACGGGGAATTAGCTCTTGGGGGAATAAAGGACAAAATCGACGTCGACATCACTGTCCCGGAACGCTTTATGCACAACATGTAAACAATAAACAACAATTGCACAATGAGCGGAATACCTGCTCTGACAACACAAACACAGCGATGAGCGGACCTTCCAGCTCAGGCGTACAAGAGGTGAGCGGAGCTCCAGCTCACCTCAGGGCGTTTCCTACGAGCGGCACATCCTGCTCGAGGTTGTCCCTATACCAGCACTCGGAATACCAAGCCTGACTAACACCGTAGTAACTGCTTACTTACTTACTTACTTTGGAGATTTAACGTGCGCTTTCCGACTGATGCGTATTTCGCACACGGGCCCGGCCAGGCCATTTAATGTGTTTCCGAAAGGGGCGAAAGTGGTCTGTGCAACCCAAGAGGGGGGTTTTAGGGGTTGCTTATATAGAATTTGGGAATTTTGAGATTTGGAATAGATGCCGATGGGATTGGGGAGGAGAACTTAGGGAGCTGGGTATGGTGGATGTTTGTTTGTTTATGTGATTTTGATTTGGTAGGTTATTGTGTTTTTAGATGCGTTTTATTAGTTCCGTTTTTATTAAGAATACGCCTAAGGCCTTGAAGTTTTCTAGTTTATTTTGTGGGTTTAGTATTACTTCTTGAGTTAGAGCCTTGTTTAGATTGAGGGTGGTTTGTAATGCGGTTCGATGTGTTAGGTAGTGTGTGCAGTGGATGAGTGCGTGTTCTGGGGTTTCTGGTTGTTTGCAGTGTGGGCAGTTACCTGTAGTGTGTTTTTTATTTTTTTCTAGGTGGTTATTTAGGTTGGTGTGTCCTCTTTGGAGTTTAGTGATTACTCTGTCGATTTTTTTGGATGGATGGAGAACTTTGGTTTGGTTAGTGGTTTGCTGAGCACTTTTTTTCATTTGGCTATTTGAGTTTAGATATAGGTTATGCCATTTTCTTGTGATTTTTTGCTTGTTTACACTTTTAATTTCTGATTTTGAGATGGGTAAGTTTAAGCTTATTTCTGGGATTTTGAGGGATAGTTTAGCTGCTTTATCGGCGTTTTCATTACCGTATATTCCTACGTGGGCGGGTATCCACAAGAAGGTTATTTGTTTGCCTGCCTTAGTTAGGTCGTTGGAGCTTTTAAGTATTTGATTTATTAATTTAGGTCGGTTTTTGGTATTTTTGTTTTGGAGGTAATGTAATTGGAGTAACTGTGTAATGGTAGAACATATATAGTAATGAACAACAATGGACAGACAAAGAGACAACGACGTTGCTTTGGACATTGGACATGTGGGCGTGATTAACCAACACAGTTCATGGGATGATCAATTAGGGCAATAAATGCCATACTATAAAAAGCAGTAGTTAAAGGGAAGTGATATGGTAGTCCAGGCTGACTGACAGTCAAAATACAATGAAATGTTGGTGAGGATTAACAACGGGGATTAGTGTCTTATAAATAATGACATTTAAGTTACGGAGACATATACATGTCATTGCTACAGGGTAATTAGCCTTTGCAATCAAATGTACTTCAGACAATGGTAGTCGTAAATCAGTCGCTTTGACAGTATTATAATGGCTGTTCAGCCCAGAGGAACATCACATCATCGTATAACTGCACATACAGCAGCTTACATTAGTATTATAATGGCTGTTCAGCCCAGAGGAACATCACATCGTCGTTTTACTGCGCATACAGCAGCTTACATTGTATTTTAATGGCTCCGCAGCCTGGCCACAACAATACGCCCGGAAATATAACAAATCTGAATCTGTCTCCACTGTCACAAATCTGAAACATACAGACAACAGATTAAAACATTGCAAATGCAATACGTTTCACATAAAGAAATAGAAATAATCTAATGGTCGTGCTTGCACTTAGAGCGAGAATGAACAATTCAAATCTCCACACCCCTTAAGTATCCCATTTTAACGCCACCTAGCCGGGCGGAATACTCACTTACATCAACGCGACACATCGCCAGGAGAAAGTAATTTCCTTCTAATTCATCCTTCAAACGAAAGAAATAATATTTCTCCTGTGCCCAACAGTTACGCTACATTACAACAGCACACTTAGTAGTGGGACAAGCTATGCGCTGCATGGCCGAGAGCTACAGAGAAAGTCAAAGACCAAGAAAAAGGGAAACTTCCATTCTATTATTAATACTATCCTTAATAAATCCGTCCTTAGCATTCTCACTTTTCCATCTTCCATGTCTTTTAAACATACGGTCTGGTATGCCGCTGTTCGCTGCTGCTGTAGCACCACCACTACGTAGACTGTGCAGACCATAACTTTTAATGTTCGTTACAAAGGGAGACAAAGCATCTAAGAAAAGTTCCCTCAGGCTTGTATAAGACATAGGATTGTTGCCTTTTCTTAACACATAACTAGACGCACATTTGCTGAGGTTTCTGAAAACATAATGATCAGAATCAGCCGGAATACATGCAAGTGTTAGATATCGTTCCAAACATTCAACTGGACACAATTTTGATTGCGTTCTACTGATAACAAGCCAGGCTCCGTCTCTATATACATCTGTTTTAGAATTTTCAATAAAAACTGTCATGTGAGATTCATAAAATATTATATCCGGACGAGAAATATTAATCAGTTCAGACGATCTTTAGAATCTAGCATAATCCAACAAGCACATCGCTAGTATTCTCAAATAAGACAAAGATGCATTTACAATTCTTGAATCGTACAACCTCTCAACAGTAACTGGCTCCTTCTTAACAACAGACTTAGCCAATTTACGTTTAGCTGCTGCCAACACATTTTATTCACAAGACCATTTTCAGTAGGACTCTCAAGCCCCACACTACAATGTGCATGCCTTAAGCTATAGAAGGCTGTAATGACAGTTGCCACTGTATCACTCTGGTGGACAATAGATAAAAGATAAATAGCACAATGCAGGTGCGAAATAGGTAATACATCCAACATATTATTCATTTTTGCCCACCTTTGCCAAGCAGCAAAACCGTATGTATATTTCTTGACAGTGGACTCGGCTCTCGACTCTGACAACAGGTCAGGCAGACCGTTAGTCAGCTGACGAATAGGAACAAGAAGATGATCAAGCTCATTTTTATATGTACACTGGAACACACCTGTAACATTGAAAACATCAATCAGCGATAATCTACAAGAAGAGCAAGCATGTTAAATTGCAAATCTGTTTCGCCAAACATTCCTCCTGGACTCCTACTAGCTATGTGAGACTCTCTGGAAGTAGGCAGACATACAC